GAATTCAAAGTAAATTTGAGAAAATGGCAAAAACCTTCAGTTATTAAAATATTAACATTTGCTTTCTTACATATTGCAAACAGTATTCCTTGTCTGCATTTGCCTTTTGTTTTTAGTGTTTTTTTGCCATATGAAAACACTTTTTTTTATGTAGTTCCTATTTTTTTTCTTTATACTTCATGTCTTCACAGTCATTTTTAGAAAACCATACTTACTCTAAGATAATTAAATACTTCCAGTATTTTCTTTCAGTTCTCTAGAGGCCAGTTCTTCATTACATTTATTTTTATACTTTCTGAAATTAAATATTAAACATATTTTAAAGATTATTTCTGAGTGATTAATATGTCTATCTTAGTTGAGGATATAAAAAGCCAGAAAGAGTGTTGCTCTCCCACCCTTATACTGACAACAAAAAGCCATATGAACTATAAAATCATAATTTTTCTTGAAACCAGTACAAAGCTGTAAGACAACCATTTTAGGCTGATATATGAGGAAGGGCAGGTAGACCTAAAGACAGACTTGCAGGTTTGGGGCAATTATGGAATACCATTAAATCTAGTAAGAACTCAGCTAACAAATTAATGGATTGCAAAAGGCAATGCATTTGCATTAGCATTTAGAATTTCTGTGAGGTGTAAACACAAGGAGGATTTGTAACCACTTTTTAATTCCATAGACTTATCAGTTGAGAATCCTTCCTGGTGCAGGCCTTTGGRAAGTGAGCAGCAGTTACTGTGGAAGAGGCACCAAACCAAATCAAACTTTAAGCCACTGGGGGATACTCTTTGGGGTTTTCTACCTAAAGTCATGTGATTTGAGGTATTTTATATGTTATTTTCCAATTTGGATTTTTTTTTCCCCTTGCTTGATTGCTTTGGCTAGAACTTCCAGTTCCATGTTAATAGAAATGTCAAGAGTGGGCATCCTTGTCTTGTTAGCTATAAGAGAAAAGCTGCATGAAGTTTGGTGTGGGCTTATCATAAGTGGCCATAATATCTATGTGTGGAAGTTACCTTCTATTCCTGGTTTCGAGTGTTTTTATCATGAAAAGATGTTARATATTGCCAAAGACTTGTAATGTATCAATTGAGATGATTGTGGGTATGTCCTTCATTCTATTAATGTGGTGTATTGATTTTCATATATTGAACTACCTTTGCCTTACTAGTATAAATCTTCCTTGTTCATGGAGTATAATTCTTTTAAAAAGCTTCTGAACTTGATTTGATAGTATTTTGATGAGGATTTTGCATTAATATTCTGAAGAGATTCTGATCTGTGGTTTCATATAGTATCTTTGTCTGGCTTCCGTATTAGGATCGTGCTGACTTAATAGAATAAATTAAGAAGTCCTTTCTCTTATTTTTTGGGAAAGGTTTAAAAAGGTTGGTGTTAATTCTTCTTTAAATGTTTGGTAGAATTAATCAACAAAGCCATCTGCTTCTAGACTTTTCTTTGTTGAGAARTTTTTTAAGTTACTAATTTAATCTCTCCTTCTATTGATCCAATCAGATGCTCTGTTTATTCTTTTTTTCCCCCTCTGTTTGTTCTTGCATCAGTTCCATCAATGTATGTGTTTCTAGGAGTTTGTCCATTATCATATAAATCATCCAATTTGTTGGCATATGTTATTTTCTTTTTTAAAATATTTTATTTTTTTAGTTTTAGGTGGACACAATATCTTTATTTTTACATGGTGCTGAGAATCGAACCCAGTGCCTTATGCATACTGGGCGAGCACACTACCACTTGAGCCACATCCCTAGCTCCAGTTGGCATATGTTATTTTCATTGTATTCTTTTATAATCCTTTTTAGTTCTATAAAACTTGAAGTAATATCCCCATTTGTTGCTACTTTTAGTAATTTGAGTCTTCTGTTTGGCCTTGTAGTATAGTTTGTAAAGGAAAGGAAGGCTCAGTACTAGATACTTCCCCTTCAGTGTTAGAACAATAGTTTCTTTACCAGCATCTCTCAGTAGTTTATGTATTTTTTTAACATTATAGACTCATGAACTTTCAACYATTACAGGTTGTTTTGATGTCCCAAATTTGGCCATTGAGACCCTTCTTCCACATATCTCCTAAGTGCTTTGATAGGGCCCTGGTAGTCTTTGATCTTTTTTTTTTTTTGTATTTGGGAGTTGAACCCCAGGGGCATTTTATTGCAGAGTTCCATCACTAGTCATTTTTTATTTTGAGAAAGCATATACAAAGAAGTCTTGCTTGTGCTTGTGTGCCTTTCACCCTGTTTTCTCCCTTGTACAACTGTAATATTTAAGTATGTATATTAAATATACATATTTAAAAAWTTTTTTAGTWGTAGATGGACATACTACATTTATTTTAATTATTATGTGGTGCTAAGGATCAAACCCAGTGCCTTACACATGCCAGGTAAGCATTCCACCATTGAGCCACAACCCCACCTCAAACATAAATATTTTTATTTTATAAATATATATATATATATATATATACATAATATGTAATATTATAAATATATGTATTTGTTTTTCCATTTTTTTAAATATTATATATGAATCTCCTTTAAATAGATGATAGCATTCATTTTTCCCCACCTTGTTTTTTCACTTAAATATATATATCCTAGGGCTGGGGATGTGGCTCAAGCGGTAGCGCGCTCGCCTGGCATGCAGCGGCCCAGGTTCGAACCTCAGCACCACATACAAACAAAAGATGTTGTGTTCGCCCGCTGAGAACTAAAATAAATAAATAAATTTTTTTAAAAAAAATATATATATCCTAGGATTTACTTTATAGTAATATATAGACATATTTCCTTATTACTCTATATACTTGCATAGTCCTTTATTATTTAGCAGCTCATTTTTAGGTTGTTTCTAATCTTTCACTCTTGTAAATACTCCTGTATCAAATAGCTGTGTGTATATCTTCTTGTATTCTGACAGTACTGCTTTAGGGTGGATTCTTGGAAATGAGGTTTCTGAAAAGGTAAATGCAGATATAATGGTGCCAGATATTGCTAACTTCTCCATTGGGGTTTTACTGTTGTTTTTTTTTTTTTTTCCTTTCCACCAGCAATGTAAAAGAATTCCTGATTCTTCCAGATCCTCATTAATAGAGAATGTTATCAATATAGTGAGAAATGGTGTTTTCATGTTTCAAGTTGTCATTTTTCTTATTATAGCACCATTTTCATAGTATGTGTATTTATTTATTTGATGTGGTGCTGAGGATCAAACCCAGTGCCTCTCATGTGCTAGRCAAGTACTGTACCACAGAGTTACCACCCCAGCCCTCATTTTTTATTTTTTTTTAGTTTGAGACAGGGTCTTGGTAAATTAGCTAGGTGCTTGCTAAATTGCTAAAGGCTTTGAACTTGCAATCTTTCCTGTCTCAGTCTCCCGAGTTTCTGGGATTACAGGCATACATCACTACACCCAGCCCTTTATTTTATTTATTCTTATATGGTGCTAAGGATAGAACCAGAGCCTCACCAGTGCTAGGCAAGTGACATACCACTGAGCTACAACCTCAGCCCCTGCATTTCTTTTCTGAGCGTGTTTTAAATTGTTTGAGGTTTGTGTGTATTGTGTACAGGRTTTTGGTACAGGCTCACAGGACTGAAGGGCTAGTTTGTGACTACTGATTCTCATAGGATAGGATTTTCCCCTCCTTTTCAGATGTCAAGATTGACTGTTTTTTTCTTTCTGCTTTTGTGGAATAGATTTTATTTCTTAGTAAGCATTTATACTGTTTAACTGTGTTTTGGGTAGGTGTTTGGACAGCTAGTACTATGCATCTTTTTCATGTAGTGTCTCTGAAAAGAAAAGGTAATGGTCCACAGGATTTGGTAGAATTTTTCTAAGGGAATCTGGGTTTGTTCTGCCTTAATCAACTTGTAGAACTCTTTTTTTTTTTGGTATTGGGGATTGAACTTGGGCATTCCACCACTGAACCACGCCCGCAGTCCTGTTTTGTATTTTATTTAAAGACAAGGTCTCACTGAGTTGCTTAGCACCTCACCATTGCTGAGACTGGCTTTGAACTTGGGATCTGGGCTGGGGATGTGGCTCAAKCTGTAGCGCGTTCGTCTGGCATGCGTGCAGCCCGGGTTCGATCCTCAGCACCACATACCAACAAAGATGTTGTGTCCGCCGATAACTAAAAAATAAATATTAAAATTCTCTCTCTYTWWAAAAAAAAAAAAAAAAAAAAAGAACTTGGGATCCTCCTGCCTCAGCATCCCCAGCTGCTGGGATTACAGGTGTGTGCCACTGTGCCCAGCCTAACTTTTGTTTTTGACTTCTGTGCGTTCCTTACTTGCTTTTCAGCCAGTTAAGCATTTTAATTTTTTCCCCCCCAGTGCTGGGGATTGAACCCAGGACATCAAGCATGCTATGCATGTGCTCTACCAATGAGCCTTCATCTCTAGCCCTTAATTATCTTTTAAAATATGTTATTTAGAATTTAGCTCAGTGGCATTGTACTTGCCTAGCATACATGAAGCCTTGGGTTCTTTACCCAGCACAGCACTATAACAAAACAATGTTATTTAGGAGATTTAATTGTTTTCAGTTGAAGACACTTTTTGGTTATCAAAATCTCCCAGTTATTTTTCAATGATATCTTGTCTAATTTTCTTATTATTTGAGATAAACTCAAATCTGCTTTCAGGTTATTGTTTAATCATTTTTTTTTTTTAAATCTCTAGCTAGGCTAAAATTTAGAACAACTTTTAAAAACTTATTTTCCTTTCCTATTCATTGTTTAGACTTTCTCCTACTTTAATTACATCTTATTGCTCTTGGCTTTTGTTTTTTAATTATAGCCTTACGATATTTTTTGAGTTGTAAAAATGGGGACTTGTTCTTTAATTACAGTCACATTAGACTTGTTGAAGGAAAAGACCTAAACATTATCAGTAAGAAGAATCAGCATGAGGTGTGAAAAGTCTGTGACACTAATACATATTTAACCAGATTGTGATCAGTGTTTTCTCTTCTTTCAGGTTTGTAGTACTTTGCAGGATTCTAGAATTTCATATGGTTTCAGTTCAAGACCACATTTGACTGAGATTCATAGTTCTCTTAAAATTCCACAGGAAGGAAAAAGAACCTGTATTCTTGTAGACAGTCGTGAAATCACTTCTGGTGTAGAAGTTATTTCTTCCTTAAGAGCAATCCATGGGTTTCAAGTAGAGGTATGTCCTCTTAATGGCTGTGATTACATTGTGAGTAATCGCATGGTGGTGGAAAGGAAGTCTCAATCTGAGATGTTAAATACTGTCAATAAGAACAAGCTCATCGAGCAGATCCAGCACCTACAGAACATGTTTGAAAGAATATGTGTGATTGTGGAAAAAGACAGAGAAAAAACAGGTTAGTATTTTAAAATATTTGTTTAGGAGCCTGAATAGGAACTTGACTATTTTATTATTCAACTGTCAAGCAATAGAAAACTCTTAAAATATAAATACTTAACTCGATGAATGTCATTTCACACTTTAATGCCATTATGTTTATCATCAGTTGTTGTAATTAAATGAAACCTATGAGAACTGAAGGCAAGTAAAGTCAATCATGACTTCAAGAATCCGAGCGAGGAGGGCCTTAAATAAAGCAGCAATGGAGAACAGAAGTAGGATCAAAGAGATGCTTAAGAGTCAGGATTTGTAGGAGTTGGTTGGAAGAGTTGAGAATTACTCTTTCTTGACCAACTTCTTGGTTACTGGCCAGTTAGGTAATGGTGCTGTTTATTGCAATATGATTATAAGAAAAGCAGCAGATTTAACTGCTCAAGAACTCAACTTTGAATGAACATGAAGATTAAGTTTGCAATTGGTCATTGAAATGGGTGCTAAGATAAATTTGGAAATGTCAAATTGGAGTTACAAATTAGGGAATTTCTGTGGTTATTATTTAATTGTATGGGGAGTTCCAGAGAATAGTGAAAAGATCAAAAGAAATGGAATCTAGATGTATTGATTTCAAGTTTCTTGATGGGGATGTGGCTCAGTAGTGGAGCATTTGCTTGGCATTCCTGAGGCACTGGATTTGATCACCAGCACTGCTAAAAAAAAAAAAAAAAAAAAAAAAACAGAACAAACAAACGAAATCCAGCTTCTTTATAGCTATGTGATGTTTGTTACCTTGATAGATCACTCCCTCTGATGAGTAAGTATTAACCATATATTTATCATATTATGAGCATTAAGTGAAATCATGTAGACAAAAGCCATTATGGACAAATTGAAGACTTACACATAAAACGAAATAGTATAGTTTATGTAAAACATTGATTTGAGAATTAGGCAACTTTTTCATCCCCCATACTATCACTGGTGAACCATGTGACCAGTGATAAGTAAATTTTATCTTTCATTTAAATTAAGGGTTTTTTTTTTCCTTTTTAATTCAACAAGTGAGGGATAAAGGAATTAGATTTAGAACAGAGAGAAAGTAACATAGAAAAAAATTACATAACCAGCTTCTTGGTTAACTGGCAGTTACAAAATGGTATAAATGGGGTGGGCRTAAGTGGGGAATGCCAAAAACAGGTTGTAACTAGAATATGGAAAAGAAAATGAACAAGAATGTGAGGCTAATAAATTAATGATGAAGTAACATTAAAATGGGCATGCAGGATATTTCTGTAGTTTACCTTTGGAATAAGTACATRAGATAATTTTTTTATATTAGTTAAACCAATAATTAAGGAGCCCTTCATCTATGCCAGCAATAAGAAATTAATAATATAGCCTTGGTCTTCAAAAGTGAATTATCTAGAAATATAAATTCTCCCTTATATTTTCACCTTCCTATGTTGATTTCAGTTGAAGTTCTCCTTAATATATCTTAGATATTAGAGAGTCRCTTTAAAACGTTTGCTGTCATTTTCTCATTAGTAGAATGTAGCACTAGTTTGTTCAATGCTATAGATCTTGGTATTTAAAAAAATATAAATTAATGATTCTACTTAGTGTTTGTTACTAAAGTTTATATTTTCCTAAACATGAAATATTTAGGAGACACATCAAGGATGTTCAAGAGAACAAAGAGTTATGACAGTCTGCTGACCACCTTAATTGGTGCTGGAATTCGAATTCTTTTCAGTTCCTGCCAAGAAGAAACTGCAGATTTGCTAAAGGAATTGTCTTTAGTGGAACAAAGAAAGAATGTTGGTATTCATGTTCCAACAGTGGTAAACAGTAGTAAATGTGAGGCACTTCAATTTTATTTAAGTATTCCCAATATAAGTTATATAACTGCATTAAATATGTGTCACCAATTTACATCTGTGCAAAAGATGGCTAACAGGTATGTCTATTTTTGTAACATTTTATAATGATTACTTTTAAATGATTCTTAGAAGCATTTCATAGAATTTTAATATTTTCAAAAAAGACTCAGTGACCATTAATAAATTGGTTTTTGTTTTTGTTGTTTTATTTTGTTTTTGCCTGTTAACTGGTACCAAGTATTGGTTAATTCATGAAGATGAGACACTAATTGGGGGCAGGGGGGGGAGTAGGCCTTRCCTTCAGGGTGCTTAGAGCTCTATGGGGAGATAGACAACAGTTTGACATTGCATTCTAACATTTCTGGGCCATTCAGTTCTGTAACTAGAACATTCAAGTTGAGAATTATACTAGTTTTGCTTGTTTTAAAGTGCCAAGGATCAATCCCAGGACTTTGTGCATGCTAGACAAGTACTTTTTCATTGAACCATACCCCTAGCCTGGTTTTTGATTATTATATTGCTTGCAGAAGGATATATTAGAACGTAAGTTTATTTTAATTAAAGATCCATAAGAGGTATGGTGTCTTAGTTAATTTGGGCTGCTATAATCCCATACACTGGTTGGCTGACTTATAAAGAGTTCTAGAGGCYAGAAGTCTGAAGTCTAGGTGGCAACATGCTTGGGTTTTGGCAAAGGCCCTCTCTTCTGGGTTGCAGTCTACTGACTTCCTGTATTCTCTCGGGGTAGAAGCAGAGTTAGCTGGAGCCTCTTTTAAAAGGGTGCTGAGGACTCTTACTCTTATGATCAACTTACCTCCCTTAGTCTCCACCTCCAAATATCATCTGTGTTAAGTCATCCCACTGTTATGCTAATGAAGTAACTGGCACAGAAAGGTTTGTTTAGCCCATTTTGGAGATTGAAAGTTCAACAAGCACAGCAAAGGCTCTGTAGTGATTCTGTGTTACCTCATGGAGTGGATAGCAAAGGCAGGAGCACTTGATTTTATCAAACCAGGTACAGGGAGAGAAACAGAGATCCTACAATCCCTGCCAAAGGCAGTGCTGCCTCCAGGAATCTAAACTTCTCCCACTAGGCCCCACCTCTTAAAGGTCCTTATCATCTTCCAGAACTGCTGCCTGGAGGACCAAGTTCTCTACACATGAACCTTTTTTGGGGGTGGTAGTAGKAGGAGGAGGAGACAGAAACCAGCACCATCAATTTGGGATCAGAGTTCCATCACATGAATTTTGGGGAGATAACAAATATTCAGTTGATTACACATATTGAAATCATTAAAGCAGATGATTTTATATAAATGAAATGGTTTTATTTAACTAATGCTAAAGACTTATCAGCTGCATGTGTAATGCTCAGGAAGATGTGATTTTTCTTAAATGCTATTTGGTGTTCTTTAGGTAAGGTAAGAATATTAAATTTTATAAAAACCAAAAGTTATAGTATAATGTTTTTGTCCCATTTATTTTTCAGCTCACCTCAAGAAATCTCCACCTGTGCACAAGTGACTCATCAAAAAGCTGAGGAGATCTATAGATATGTTCACTACATATTTGATACGGAAATGTTACCAAATGATCTTAAAGATAGATTGAAATCTGATACATGATCAGAGACTACTCAAGATGCAGTTATTGTACTCTCACRATTCTAAATGCACTTCAGTAATCATTGCTATGGTTTGTGCCAGTTTAAAATATGTAACAGAATATTTCCTTATCACTTAAAGATATTTTGTGTACATTTTTATTTATGTAGATTACGAATTATTTTAAAAGAAATTCTTTAATGCTTAGTAAACATTTTGACTAGATTATGGAATTAATTTCTTTATTTAATAAATCAATGTTTTGTTACAGGTACTATTGAGGAGAAAATAAAAGCTGAGTGAGATGTGTTCTGGGATTTTCCCTGCAAAATGTATTGTCTTTGTTATTTCTTAGCATGAATAGTATCCATGCCTACTGCCAACTTAGTGGTCACAAACCATTATTCCTATATATGAACTATAATATTGCCAATATTTTAAATGTACTGAATCTAAACATATATATTGATAAGGATTAAGTGGTAGGTGTCTTGTCAGATCAATGACCCAGTCACTAGGAAAGTAGAACATTTAGATAGGGGAAGGGATGGAGGGGAAGGGAAGGGGAATCGGGGTAGGAAAGACAGTGGAATGAGGTGGACATCATTATCTTAACTAAATGTATGAAGACACAAATGGTGTGGCTCTACTTTGTGTACAATCAGACATGAAAAATTGTGTCTATATGTGTACCATGAATTGAATCACATTCTTCTGTCATATATAACAAATTAGAATAAATTTAAAAATTTTTAACTGAATGTCACCTCCACTAAAGGTATACAAGTCAAGTATATTCAAGTCCTGATAATATGGACTCCAAACTATTACTTTTGTTGTTGAAATATCTTCTAAGTGGCATAAGAGCTTGAACTTAGTATTTCTTGTGTGTGTGAGGGGGGTGGATTTCCCTAGGGATTGAACCCAGGGCTACTTTACCACTGAGCTAAATCCCCTACCCCCRTTATTTTGAGACAAGTTTTCACCAAGTTGCTTAGGGAGGTTTATCTTTAATCAAAGTAGATTTATTTATATAGAATAGAAAAAAGCGACACTTTTTTTTCCCCCATGTATGTATGGTACTAGGGATTGAACTTAGGAACATTCAACCACTGAGCTACATCCCCGTCCTTTTTATTTAGAGACAGTATCTCAAACTTGCAATTCTCCTGACTCGGCCTCCCATTCCAAGTYCATGGGATTACAGGTGTATGTCATAGTACCTGGCTGGAAAGATTTTTTTGAATAAGTTATTGAATGTATTTGGTTTTCACCCATTATGTTTGTGATGTTATTAACTTAACATGACTTTATGTTTTTATTTTGAATATAAATTAGACTCTTAAAAAAGTCAAGTCTAGAAGAATAAGCAGCAGCCTCATTTGTGTCCCTTTACTATTCATCTTTTTGATTAYTAATCTATCTTATTATTTTAATCCTTGAGCCTTTTAAAGTCTTTTGCATTTTTGCTTTGTTTTCTTCAGAGGTTACTTATCTTACCTTAAACATTATTAATTTACTTTGACCTAATAGAAATGGGACTACCAGGAACCTGGCAGGGTAGGATACCAAAAAAAAAAAAAGAAAGAAAGAAAGAAAAAGAAAAAAGACCACCAAAGTAGAAGGAGGAGGAGTTTATAGACTGGACATAGGGAATATGAGCACTGAGAGTAAGACTTGTGTTCTGGGTCAAGTGTATGCCATTCCAAAATTTTTTGTTATTAGATTTGACTTAATGTTATAAAATACTTTTGTGTCATGGATTTCTTAACTTCTAATATACTACCGTAAATTTAAGCAGCAGAATGTAATGTCAAATATTGGCACCTAACTTGTAAATGGTATTTTTTTTAGRGCCACTCTAAAATAAACCTTTTATATCTTTCCCTTCCTTTATTCCATCCTATATCTACTAAGGGTTGTGGGAATGGAAATAATCATAGTAGTTTAAAGAAGAAGGGTAGTCTAATCATGCTATTTTTAAGTAATCTTTTTAAATTTTTTTTTAGACGTTGATGGGCCTTTATTTTATTCATTTATTTATATGTGGTGCCGAGAGTCGAACCCAGTTGCCTCATGCATGCTAGGGAAGTGCTCTACCACTGAGCCACAACCCCAGCCCCCAAGTAAACTTTTTAGAAATGCTCAAGTAGAAAAACTTCTACTACTAAGAAACTTAATCAGCACCCTTAACAAAATGTATATTTGTTTTCTTTCTCTGATCAGTCAATAAAACAAAAATAAAAACAACCTGGAGGGCTGGGGACGTGGCTCAAGCAGTAGCGCGCTTGCCTGGCATACGTGCGGCCCGGGTTCGATCCTCAGCACCACATACCAAAGATGTTGTGCCCGCCGAGAACTAAAAAATAAATATTAAAAAATTCTCTCTCTCTCTCTCCTCTCTTTAAAAACAAACAAACAAACAAACAACAAAAAAAAAAAACCTGGAAACAAATACTATAAAGACTAACTTTATTTGAACGGTTAGGAATGAATGTATACTATAACCAGAAAGAAAATATTTTTATGTCAAATTCTGAAACATAATGACAGAATTACGCTAAAATGTTATTTCTAAAGAGCTGTAAGTAAAAGAAAGGATGTTTACTATGACATAATATTCATTAACTTGGCTCCTTATAATGGTGGATCTGTTAACTTGTATGTCTGCAAATGAAAGCAGGGTGGTAGAATGCAGCAGCATCTGTTCTCTAGTAAAATATTTAAAAATCAATAAATTAAAGTTACATTGGTTTCATAGGGAGATCATGAGAAATGAGAGAAACGTTAAATAGTTTCAACAATGCATAATTTAAACATTAAATCAACTTTGGTGGTGACAAATGCTGTAATTTTTCATGAATTCAGAAGTCATTAATCCAACTTCTTTCATCTCCCCACCTCCCCTTTTTAGGGTAGCAAGACTTTAAAAAGTGTTATTTGGGACATGATTTTATTGAATCATTAAAGTAAACAGACTTAGATGCTTATAAGAAACTTAAAACTATATTTTAATATTACAAAACACAAATATATAGCTGTGTAAACAAGCTGCAGCAATGAGGAATATTCGACAGGATATTTTAATACAAACATGAAACCTTTGAGGAAAAAAATCCATAGTTTCATATGAAGCTACATTATGAAAAAATGCTTATTCACCCAATGGAGATACAAATATACTGTCTGCTTTATGATAAAAATCATTAAATCATTCTCATTTTTACTATTCAGAATCAGAATTTGAAAAATAATCATCTTTCTCTTCTTCATCTGAAGGTTCCATAGCATTAGTTAAAAGTTTTCCAATACCAGATGTGTCTCCTAAGTCTGTAAGGAGATATTTAATAAAAAGGATTAATACATATCCAAGTAATTTTAGTGAAAACTGAAAAAGTGTAAGGAACTAACAACAATTTCAGGATTGTTTAAATAAATATTGCCAAATAATAGATGACTTATTTACAAAATAAATAAATAAATTACCTTGGTTAAACAGGGTTTTTCTTGATGTTGGAGTTGAGAAATTAGTTTCAACCTATAAAAGAGTTCACATTTATAGGTAAGTGTTACCTACTTTGATGCCTCCTCAAGCCTAGACAAAATTAAGTATGCTTAATACACAGTATAACAGTTAAAATGCTTGATAGTTATTTGTCAAAAGCCTAATTTTATTTCATTCATCCAGGGCAAAAATCACAACTTGTTCGATGTTGTTTCTCACTGTTGGCAAACATTACTGTAAGAAAACATTACAAACTAATGCTACAATGGCTAAAGGATAGTCTATATGCTTCTAAAAGCCAATATTGAAGTATTTATTTCATTTAAATAATTAAAATCCTTGGCTAGTAAAAATATATTTTATCATAATCAAATAACTGACTATAGTAAAAGAAAAAAAAAGTCCATGTTTGGAAAACATTATACTATCAAAGTATTAGTTCCCCTACCTCAAAGTCTTGGCTTAAAATGGTGGTAACATATGCAAAATTTTAAGTGCATTTTCATATACAAGGTTTTTCAAAGTACTAGCTACAATTGGCACTCTTTGTGCACACATATGAGAAGCACTGGATTGGGGAACTTAGCAAGAACCAGTTTACTGGAAAAAAAGACAAATCTTACACTTAACCATTGAGTCACATCCCAGCCCTATTTTGTATTTTATTTAGAGAGGGTCTCATTGAGTTGCTTAGCGGCTCACTAAGTTGCTGAGGCTGGCTTTGAACTCATGATCAAGCCACTGGAATCACAGGTATGTGCCACAATGCCTGGTTGAGTCAAATCTTTAGACTCCCATTCATTCCATGGCTTTCTCCCCCTAAGAATTGTGGGACTGTAGAAAGGGRATCTTAAGGATCACTAAGGAGTCTATCTAGTTCATTTATGGAGTTCAAATTTCTTTGAAAGAACAAGAGTCTCCAGACTGATTTTAAAGCAAGGTCCCAGTGAAATACTTACTATTTCCTGTGTATAAGTGAAGTCCAGGAACATGGATGAGATTATGTAATGCCAATATTTAGAGACTCTGAGAGAGGAATTATATTCTAGCTAGTATGCAGCATAAACATTTCAAGTTAAGTTAGGGAAGAAAAGGAGTACTTTTAGGGTATGAATTTCCTGTCCCCATAAATTATTCTGCAAGATTAGCTTTGAGGAAATTGGAGGTGAATTAGCTTTTCTAAAATCTTGCTACTTATGTCTGGTTATCATTAAGTAGATGAATCTGAAAACCATCTGAAAATTATTTTAAAGCTGCATGGAAGCTGATGAAATGTCTTCTATAAAAATTATGATTTAATTAGTCTGATTATTCCCTGGTAACTGAATAGACACTCTTTTTACTCATTCTTACCTTGCTCAGATGTTTGATCTACGAGCTTCCATCTGTAATCTTACAGTAGTTATTTAGTTATCATGGCCACATATTAGATTCTAAGTATCTGTAGGGCATGGACTATTATATAGCTCTTATAATGTCATATCTTACAGGGTTCTATAGATAAATGTTGGATAAAATAATAAAAATACTTACCCTTTTTTTCTTAACATTGCCCCAGACAATGCCACCATTACTTTTATGATTTTTTTGCATACGATAAACATACTTATCACAATCCTTCCTGTTTAAATACAAAATAATTTCAAGTCAAAATTAACTATAATACTTTTACCTTCAGGCTGAAAAGTAATTGTTAAAATCTAAAATCTATTCAATCTTAAAAAAAGTAGATTTTCACCAGGTGTGTTGGCACACAACTGTTAATCCTAGAAGCTTGAGAAGCTGAGGCAAGGTGGATTTGCAAGTTCAAAGCCAGCCTTGGCAACCTAGGGAGACCCTGTCTCAAAAAAAAAAAAAAAAAAGGAATGTGGCTCAGTGGGTGGTTAGGAGCCCCTGGGTTCAGTCCCAAGTACCAAAAAAAAAAAAAAAATCAGTAGTTCACTACTGAGAATGTACACCTCTTTAAGGCCATGTCTGGCAATGCATACTCTGTATTTTTATCTTCCAATTATGTTTGGTTTTCAATCAGCTCAGCTTTTATTTCTCCATAATTATATATTTCTTGTATTCCCCATACCAATGATGAAGGTTTTGTTTTTTCATTTCTTTTTACCTCATCTCTACTCCAGCTCATTCTCAGAAAATAGGACTGCCCTACAATTTACAGATGAAAACTGAAGCCAAACATAATGGTTGTTTTCAATTCCCTATCTYGCTTCACATGCACAAGGCCATGGGTTCAAATCTTAGCACAACAACAACAAAGTTAAGCCAACTTTTAGAGCTGGTGAAGTCAAGARACAGTGAAGGTTTAGAAAACTCAATTTCTTAAAGTAAAAAATATTGGGTATTTGCGCTATAAGAAAAAAAATAAGTCCTGTATTATTATAAACGCAGTATAAACAGGAAATATCCTCCCCTTGAAGACCAAACAGAAACTCACAGACTCATATCAGTGTTATCTCACACGGCCTATAAATACTAGCTATTGATGTTTTAGTTTAAAAAATTTCCTTTCTCTATGAATTCATGTTGTATAAAATTGGGATCATGCTATATGTTGTTTTATTTAATTTTTAAAAACAATTATTATCTGAACATTATTCCATGTCATCAATTTTTGAAGACATAATTTTTTTTTTTTGGTACCAGGGATTGAGCTCTGAGGCACTCAACCACTGAGCTGCACACACCCCCTTTTTTTGTATTTCATCTAGAGATAGGGTCTCACTGAGTTGCTTAGTGCCTTACTATTGCTGAGGCTAGCTTTGAACTCTCGAACCTCCTGTCTCARCCTCCTGAGCCACTGGGATTACACGCGTGCATGATCACGCCCAGCAAGATCAGCATTTTTAATTGCCAAATGGAATAGCCCTCTTTGTGACATCAAACTATTGGTCACTCCTATTCTTTCCTGTTAATTTCATTTATATTTATATTTCAAATAGTTCTTATATACACACAGTTCAAGATTCAAGTCACACTTTCATTCATCCCTAGGTCCCATCCCTAAACATTTTTACCTATCTCATCAAGAGATATTTAAATAAAAGCAATTTTACACATATATATGCACATAACACATTATTCACTGCATCTTGCAATTTTCAATTAATATATCTTGGGCATTTGACCATAGTAGTAATAAAAAATTTCTTCATTAATTTGTATGATGACATAATATATCAGAATTCATTCTGAGATTCCYTACTGATTAACATTTGAATTCTGCCATTTTAACAATGCTACAATAAATTAGGTGTACATTCACAATTCTAAAAACAGAATTCCTGGTTCAAAGGCCATGTATGGTTTATACATATTGACATATCCTGACAAATTGTTGCTGCAGGTTCTACTTATTTATTTTTATTTTTTAGTACTAGGGATTGAATCAAGGGGAACTCTACCACCTAACTATCCTCCCAAGTCCTTTTTATTTTTTATTTTGAGACAAGATCTTGCTAAGTTGCTGGCTTGCCTCAAACTTGGGATCATCCTACCTCATCCTTCTGAGTGTCTGGGATTACAGGTGTGTGCCATAGCACCTGGAAGATTGTACTGATTTACATTTTTATTAACATATGCATGAGAAAAGCTTGTTTTCTTGCTGATTTGTAGGAAACATTAGGGAAATTATTAGCCTTTGCCTGTGACAAATTGCAGTAAGTTCTTTTCTGAGAACTTATCTTTTCAATGTTTGCAGTAGTTAATACCAGGCGAAACGATTCAATTTTTTCATATGGCTGACTTTATTTATCATTTGTGGCTTCTGGATTTTTGCATCACACTTAGAAAGACCTTCTTCCATACCATCGTCCTACCTTAGCTTCCTGAGTGGCAGGAATTACRGGTGTGCATCATGCTTGGCCCATCATTCTTTAAATAATAATTCTTCCCATTACTACATCTTTGTTTCTCAACTCATGAAATATTTAAATGTTCCTCAATGATGCAGAATATTAAAATAGCACATGCAAAATTATTCACCTGTTTATAGAGTTCAGCATGCCAGGAGTGACATGCCGACACTGAGGAGTTTCTGCCAGTGGAAAGATAACAGATGATGGAGTTGTTGGATTTCTGTCCATATTTGGCAGAATATCATCAGCATCTTGACTGTCCTGGAAACTTGGTAACTAGAAAACAAATATTTTCAGCAGGCACACATAAAAATAAATATTTTTTTCATTATCATGATTTTTAGTGAATTGGTGTTTTTCTCCTCATAATTTTCCAAATTAGATAATTAAAAACAGTAGTAGATTGATAACAGAATCACTAAAGACAAAAGAAATTGTTTGCATGTAAAATGGATTCACTAACACCTATTTCTAAAGGCTGTGCAGACTAGAAGTATGCAAATGATTTCTGCAGAGTCAGATGGTAAATACTTTATGATTTATGGCCTACACAGTCTTTGTCCCACCTATTCAAAATTGTGTCACTTCTATGAAAGCAGATGCACATAATAAGCAAACAAATYGGCACCTCTGTGAAACAGATGATAAACTGAATTTGACCAAAAGGCCCACAGCTTGCTGACTTTAGRTGTAGAAAAAACAAAATAAAAATAAAAATGAAAATGAACTGTACTTGGCTCTTAGTAGGGACTCATGCAGTGTTAAAGATCTTTATACTGAAATTGTAGAAAAAGTAGACCTATGCCATGGAAAATGAGCTAATTCACTTTCCATTTCTATCTTTTTAATGTTGTTACTCTTGTATTCAGTCCTAAACATATGTATTTAGAGCATGAAATGATGGTGGGATAACAAAGGGTACAACCTCTATTGGACCATGATATTGTGAAGGGAACACAGTATTGGCTTTAGATGGCACCCTTAAAATGTATCCTATAATTTGTATAAGCAAAAAGGAGGCAGAAATAATGTTTTAAATAGATTCTGCAAAGCACTGAGTACTAGTCTTGTTAAATTTTAGATGATTTGAAAACAATATGAAGAAACTGGTAGCTGAAAAAATTACAGTTATGATATTATTCAATTCAATTGTCCATATCCACGTATTTGTACATTAATCTTTATACACTTAACATTTAGATTCTAAAATACTCTTAAACTCGGGCTGGGGATGTGGCTCAAGCGGTAGCGCGCTCGCCTGGCATGCGTGCGGCCCGGGTTCGATCCTCAGCACCACATACCAACAAAGATGTTGTGTCCGCCAAGAACTAAAAAATAAATATTAAAAATTCTCTCTCTCTCTCTCTCTCCCCTCTCTCACTCTCTCTTTAAAAAAAAAAAAAAAAACTCTTAAACTAGCACTTCATATTTATACTGTATTTCATTGCTTATGAAAAACATTTACTGTATATTCATTTCCAGGTTTTTGCTATACAGTTAAACCTGGAATGAGTATTTGCAAAGATTTTAAGCTTCTGAATTTCTTAGGATGAATTCTGAAGAATAGAATTYATCTTTATAGCTTTTGTAATATATTACCACAGTATGCTTTCTGAAAGCTATGAATCCATTGATGTTACTGATATATGACTGTTAATATCAGAYTTCCTTTTGTTAGCAGTGAACATTTTAACTTATTTTTTAAAAAAGACTATAACACAGAAGGTATATAGATATACACATCTATGTACCTATACATATTTTATATTTATTTATTTACTTACTTATTTGCTTATTTATTTATTTCTGCATTGCTGGGGACTGAACTGGGCGGCGGGGGTAGGGGGTGGGTGGGGAGGTGGCGCTTTATCACTTAGCCTAGCCCCTTGTTTTTTAAAAAATTTGAGACCAGATCTCACTAAGTTTCCCAGGCTGGCCTCAAAACTTGGGATCTTCCTTCCTCAGCCTTCTGAGTTTGCTGGGATTATAGGTGTGTGCCACAGTACCTAGAAAAACAAAACAAAACAAAAATCTACTCAGCTGTTCATTACATTGATCTTTTGCATTTCTTTTTTAGTCTCTACTTCAGTAAATTTTGCTCTCATATCTACTATTATTTTCCTATTAATTTTGGGTTTGGTTTGCTCTTATTTTTCTAGTTTCTTGAGTTATAGTGTTAGACTATTTATTTGGTAGCTTTCTCATTTTCAATATAGGTGCTTATTGCTAATTTTCTCCGTAGTATGAATTTTGCTGTATTCCATAGGTTTTGGCMTGTTGTGTTTTTATTAGTTTGTTTCAAGAAATTGTTTAATTTACTTTTATATTTCCTCATTGGCCAATGGTTATTCAAGAGTATGTTTAGTTTTCATGTATAATTGCTAAGTTCCTCTTGTTGAATTCTTCRGCATCACTGGTGTGAACTCCACTGTTGGAGGGGTGTAGAGTAGTGCCAGCTCTAGCAATGCTGGCGTATTGAGTATGTATACTTAGCAGAGGCAGTCTGGGGTATGCACTCTCAGGCCTGGTGCTGGAAATGGTATGACAGGTAGCCAATGGGGTAGCTAGTTCTATTGGGAAGTGAAAATGCAGGGGTGCAGTTCCAGCGGGGAAGTGCCTTGGTATCTTGGGTCCTGGGGGTGTCCTATACTGCTGAGCTTAGCCACCTACTGTAACATAAGGCATTGTGCAGGCCTGCATAGTGCAGTCAATTTCACTCTGGGTCTAATTGTGTTTGTGAGATTGAAGCCCTCTGTCCTAGTACAGCAGAATATCTATAGGGCCTAGGAGATGGGGATATACAGAGGCTTATGGCCCYTAGGGAAGTCTGAATTCCAACTGTGACTGTTCTCAAGATGATGTCAAGCTACAACAGTCTAGACTCTTGGAATGCAGTTTTCCATCCACCTGTTGCTCTGGTCTTCTTTGTGGAGAAGGATAAGGTGAGCACCCAGAACCTCTTTTTGGTCATCTTGAAATCTCTTTACATTTTAAACATATATGTTTGACTATTTATTTGTTTCCTATTTGGTTTTACAATATTAAGTTTGAACCACTGAAGGGCAGACTCTGGAAACTGGTGAAAATGGCATACAGATTATTTCCTATCCTACTCTTTGGTCATTATCTATAAAAGCTACCCATCCTTGGGCTGAAATATTAGTAATGAACACTACCATAAATAAAAATGAAAGATATAAATAAAATATAGGCAATATAAGAAGCTGGGTGTGGTGGCACATACTTCTAATCCCAGTGATTTGGAGGGCAGAAGCAGGAGGATCAAAGTTCAAAGCTGGCCTCAGCAACTTAGCAAGACTCTCTTCCAAAATAAAAAATAAAAGGACTAGGGATTCAGTGGTAAAGTGCCCCTGTATTCAATCCCTGGTACCCCCGCCCCCCAAAAAAGGTCAGTATAGGTTAAGAAAACAATGATTTCATACATTTGAGACTCTTACCAATACTCTTTTTTGATTTTGTAAAGGTGTTGTACTGAAAAAATCGTCATGGTCATCTTTTGGCAACTGTTCCAGAAAATCCCTCATTTGTTGTTTCCTTTTAAGAGTTCCCACTTTGGCAGTTATCTTAATATTCTGCTTTTTATCATTCTTTCTCTCACCTTAAGAGTCATCAAGACATTTTGATAAAGATTTAGTTATATATTAACTGCTTTATATAGTTAACAACTTCTATTATTTTAACAAATGATTCTTTCTACATTGACATCTATGCAGTATGATTAGCCTACATAAACTCATTAAACTAAGATTAGGCAAGGTGAGGTTTAAGAGATTGTTACTCTGTGAGAAAGGCTATGTCCCATACCCCTGCTGCTAAATGCCTGATTTAGTTATTTAGCTAAAATGTAAAACCTTAATGAATTATCTCTTTAAATCTTATAGGATTTCTCTCAAATAAAACACCTTTTTTTAGCAACCACGGACCTAAGYATGTAATCCTGGGACTATGAAAATTAAATTTATTCTCATCGTTTTCTTGTTTGTGAATCACTAGTGAGCCCTAATCAAGAGGCCTCAAATCAAATTAGATAATCAGAATAATAATTTGGGTACCAAATCTCTGTATCTAATTTACGATTTCCTAGAAAAAATTCAAAGCACAAGGCTACAAAGCTACTACTGACAGAAGTAGGTATATAGGATAACACTTTTTAAAAAAATACCTGTAATAAGACTATGGATAAATATAAAATATAATTGGTGAGTGATTAGAAGTCTACACTGAAAATTAGGAAAATTACAAAGGTTACCATTTTGACCTTTGGGATTGGCTTGCTTTTTCTTAATCACATGTTTCTGGGGTCCTTTTCCTCGAGGATCTTCCAGGTATTTCTTCTGGCATTCCTTAGCAGTTCGAGAACCTACTGCCTTAGCTACATCTGACCAGAAACCAGGTTTGTACTTTGGTAGAGATGCAAAAGCACTGTGGAAGACCAAAACCAGTTAAACAAGAAGAGGGGATGTGGCTCAAGCGGTAGCGCGCTTGCCTGCCATCCGTGCGGCCTGGGTTTGATCCTCAGCACCACATACAAAGATGTTGTGTCTGCCGAAAACTAAAAAAAATAAATAAATAAAAWTTTTTTCCCAAAGTTCATCTAATCAATGATTTGGGAAAATTTTGGCATAAATGACTCCTATATACTGTTTTGTAAATCTTATTAATGCCGACTATGCCAGAAGATAAACCTTTTTTTTGTTGTTTTTGTTTTGGTGGTATTAGAGATTGAACCTGGGGTTGTTCTATTACCTAACTATATTCACAGGCCCCTCCCCTATAAAAAGGTCTTATGCTTAGTTTCATTCCAGTGTAATTTGAAGATCTTCGTATTTGAGAAGAAAATGCCCTTTTAATTGAGGGAACCAAAATTTGAAAAAAAAAAAAAAAAGTAGAAACATAAGGTAATTCCTAACTCATTCTAAAAGTTCCTTTGTAAATTTGTTTAGAACCTGGTATACATAWTACCWCCCACAAWAAAAAGACTTTATATATTGTACTTAGGTTGACCATTCAMGCAGAAAATTTATCTTATTTATCTTACCAATTAGTTTAAAAATGGTGTAGGATGAGTATCCCTTATCTAAAATGTTTGGGATAGGATCAGAAGTGCTTCAGATTTTCATTGTCTTTGAAGACTTTGGAGTATTTGTATGTAATGAGGATGGAACCCAAGTCTGAACGTGAAATTGGTTTTATAAACCACATATATACACATAAACCCAAAGTAGTAATTATTGTTTTTTAAATATATGTATATTTTTAGTTGTAACTGGACACAATAGCTTCATTTTATTTATTTATTTTTATGGGATGCTGAGGATCTAACCCAGAGCCTCGCACATGCTAGGTAAGCACTCTACCACTGAGCCACAACCCCAGCCCCAGTAAATTATTATTTTTTGGAAATGTTAGGTTTTGAGCCCAGGGCCTCCTTTATGCTAGGCAAGCATTCCACCACTGAGCTATATCCCTTGCCTGAAGGTAATTTTGTACAACATTTTTAGTGTGCCTGTGTTTTGACTATGATCAATCATGTAAGATTAGGTATGGAATTTCCCACTTGAGCATYTGTCAGCACTCAACAAGTTTTAGATTTTGGAACATTTCAGATTAGGGATGCTAATGTTATATCAACTATATCATGTCTTTACTTCAAATACTGTTTCTTTGACAAAATTTGCAGCAGCCCTCTATCTCTGTGGTTCCACCTCTGTAGATTTGACTAAAATATTCAGGAAAAAAAATCTGAATGTGTACAGACATGATCAGAATATTCAGGAAAAATAAAATAAATCTCTACTGAACACATACACTTTTTTCTTCTCATTCTTTAATGATAACTGTTTATATAGAATTTACATTGTATTAGGTATTAGAAATAATCTASAGATGATTTAAAATATATRGGAGGATGTATAATAGGTAATATGCAAATACTATTCAATTTATTTAAGCGACTTGAAMATCCACAGATTTTGGTATCCTGAGGGGTCGTGGAACCAATCCTTATGGGCATGAGATTTTAAAGAAATAATGACAAAGAATTTAAACCTAGCTTTGGAAGATTTACATTTCCAGAAGCTGAAATGGGCAGGCAAAGTGGGTAGAGGATTTGGGAAGTCTGTTTTATCAATGGAAAATAAACCTCTTAACCTTAATTGTATTAAGTCAAACCTTATAAAGTGATATCCAGGCAATATCTAAATACAAGAATTCAGGGCCAGATAGATAGATTTSAAAATCACTATATTAAAAAGAGAGTTGGAATTTGAGAGGACATAAGATCACTAAGGGGGATACCACAGCACAAAAGCAGCCTAGAATAAGAATCTGAAGAGTAAGAAGGAAAATTGCCTTCTCTGTCTGAAAATAAGCAGAGGCCATGCATGGAAGTGCATACCTATAATCCAAGCAACTTGGGAGGCCGAGGCAGAAGGACTGCAAATTTGAATCCAGCTTCAGCTGGACCTAAACTTAGTAGACCCTATCTCAAAAATAAAAAAGGGTTGGTGATGTAGCTCAGTGGTAAAGCACCCCTGGGTTCAATCCCCAGGGATAATGAATAAGTAAATTAGTGAATAAAATAAGTTAGAGGAGGAATATTTAGGAATTGGAAGAGTACAATGCCATGGAAGTGCCTGAGGAAAAATATTTCAAGAAAGCAGATTTGACCAAATGTTATAAGGTTGGAGGGATACAAAGGAAACAGAATGGACTGGGGATGTGGCTTAAGCACTAGCGCGCTCGCCTGGCATGCGTGCGGCCTGGGTTCGATCCTCAGCACCACATACAAAGATGTTGTGTCCACCAAAAACTAGAAAATAAACATTAAAAAATTCCCTCTCTCTCTCTCTTTAAAAAAAAAAAAAAAAAAAAAAAACAAAGGAAACAGAATGTTCCAGTTATCCTTCTCTCCTTTAATCAATCACTTTTTCCTTTTTTCCACTAGATCATTTCCATCAGCATACCATTATACCCTGGCATCAGCCATCTTACAAATAAGCAGGTTAGCAACCAAATAGCTTCCCTTATCTTCACACTTGCTTTTGATCCCAAATTTTTCTATTCCCCATCATTGCCAAATTTCTTGGGTTGTCCATCTAGGTTGTCTTTATGTCTTTACCCTCCTATTCATTCTTGATTACTCAGTTGTTACCTGGTTTCTGTACTACCACATTACCCACACTGTGAAATTTATGTAGACAAATCCAATTCTTATCATACCTGAGTTACCAGCAACAGACACAACAGATCAATCTCACTCTGTTGAAAACTCACTATTGGCATCTTAAAGTAATAATGGTTACAAGTCACTAAAGCAGCCCCTTACTGATGTATTTTATGTCTTTAACACTTTTGTAGCCACTACTTACCAATGAAGTTTCTCTGATTCCTTTTCATTCCATTCATCATCCTGAATTAATGAAGGTAAACATTCTAAGGGATGCCTGTTAGTTTCATCGGATCCCATTCCCTCAATAATTGGAAGCTTATTCCTAACACCGGATTTCAGAAGAGTTTCTTTAGCAGAAGATCTAGCTTTCTTTTGTTTAATATGAAATTCATTTTCACTTTCCTCAGTTTCAGATTCTGAAATCACTGAGATAGTCCTTGTGGAATTTCTTGTGCTTTTTCTCAGCTGAACCATTGTTTCTTTGGTATTTCTTGCTCTGGTTTTCTCGACCTCTACTTTCCTTCTAATTTCCTTTTTTATTTTACTCTCTTCACTTGACAAATTTAGTGATGACTGATGATTGTAAAAACACATAGCTTCTTGATTTTCAGTTTTCTTCAATTTTGATAGTGACCCGGCATTTTTCTTAAAGTCATAGRTGACCATTTGTTCATTTTTAGGGCTAGGCGTTTTTATTTTCTGGTTGACAGTGAGTAAAAGACATTCATCACAATTTTCCTTGTTTTCACTATTATGACGCTCACTACACTCAAATGTATTTTCCAGAGTCTCAGTGGATATACTCATGGGACTTACAGTTTTGTTTAAGTCTGATTTGTAAGTTTCTTCTTGATGCTTTGGCACTGCAGAATTTGTTATTGCTTTAATGGTTCCAAAGGACAGATTATACTTCATGCATCTTTGCTTTATCAATGTTTTAGTTTTCAGTGGTGTTACTAAAACATAAGCTTTCTTCTGCTTGACAGCCATGGATTTTCTTTCTTTATCTAAGAAAAACTGTTCTCTTGAGGTTAGAATATCAATGGGTACATCCAATTCTTCAGTTCTCTCTTTAATTTCACAAGACAAAAACAGTAACAAAAATCTCAAATTAGGTCTAAATAAATTTCAGTATAGAAAAAAATTTTAACATAAAATATACAATATTTTTTACCAAGTTCCATTGTATATCCTACTGTCCTATTAATCTTCCTGAAGCACAGGTAAATTTAAATCATTCCTCTTTCAATTTAAGCATACCAGATTATTTATACAAACCTACCAATGACTTCTCAGTCTACTGGTACACATACAAGCTCCTCTGAGAGGCCTTCAATAAAGTTCCACTCTTTCACTGTCCTCAAATCTGAACCATATTCTATCAGACCATTGGCTATTTCTCGCATCTGCTTGGTTCTTGGCTTTAATGCTTTTCACTCTACATGTAAAGTTTCCTCAYTCTTCTACAAACCAAATTAATACCTGTTTTGGTTTTATTCTCTAACCCAGTTAATCTACAAATTTTCTTTTGAATGAAAGCTATTCTTTTAAGCTTCCAACATACACTTAAAGTCATGCTATGTTTAAAAATGAGTCCTGCATTATAATTGCATATTAATCTTTTCTTTTAATTAGACTGGAAAAAAAACATTAATGATAAGAACTTTATTTTCATGTTCAGACATTTTTGCTATTGTTAGTACCAATGTGTATGTATACTGTAGACACTAAACAAATATTTGTTACATTAACTCTCTGGAACTAAAATATTTAGAAGATATTAAGAAAACCACTAAGGTCACTAAACCTGACTAGACATGTAAAATATGAAATAATAGTTGTGYTAGTTAAGGATGGAATTACAAGAACATGGAACTCTAATCTTTATAGCTCTACCTCAACCCTGAAGGTAGTCAGAGACAAACCTTCACTGAATCTCTGCCAACTCCATGAATTATCATGGGAAAGTAACCAAAATTAAATAACTGAAAATTCTTTACCATATCATGTCACTAAAGAAAATATGTTGAGTGCAGTGCTCTAATTTGAAACTTGAGAAACCAGAAGCTAAACTAAGTGAAATTTGAAATTTAAATTTCCCATTATAATTATAAATACATATAAATTTCAAATCAGCATACCAATCATAAAACAACAGACTATACATTTTATATGCTACTGTTTACAAGATCAACAACAAAATGAAAGACTAATACATAATACTGAATCTGTGGGCTGGGGTTGTAGCTCAGTGGTAGAGCACTTGCCTAGTACGTGTGAGGCCCTGGGTTTGATCCTCAGCACCACATAAAAATAAATGCATAAATAAAGATGTGGTGTCCATCTACAATTAAAAAAATTTTTAAATAATAATAATATTGAATATGGAAAAAAAAGCCTCTAAAATATAATTTGTGAAGAAGTAGTACTAATTCAAAGTAACCCAAAAAACTTCTGTAAGATTTTTCACTGGCGTCATAGATCTTCAAATCATGAAGAAATTATTTTCTCCTAATTCCTCATATAATTCAAGTGTTCAACTGAAAATTGGAAAATTTTGAAATTATAATTTTGAAAAAAACATTTCTATTCAGAATATTTTAAATCATTTTATTAAATAATCTTGACAAAGATTCTGCCTATTTTGAATACTTTAACCTAATATGTATGAACTCGGCAATCTAAGCAATATTGCTTTCCTCACCACATTTATAAATGTTCTTCATTTTCATATATAGGAATAAAAAAAAAATAAAAAGAAAAAAATGCTATTAGGCTGATGGATTTAAATAAATGTTCAATTTTGAACTCAATAATATTTAGAGAAAGGCTCTTTAAATTTTGATACATAGGATTTTAATTAAATCACTCTAAAAAATGCATACAACACGAAACTAATTTATAGTATTCATTTAATGAAAGGATTCAGTCTTTGAACAGTTCTATAAGTATACTTAAGATTATGTATAATTTTTTAATCTAAATAAAATTATTTAGTACCAAGACTTGAAAAGGTAGGCCTGTGCATAACGTAGTATTTAAAGTAACTGATTATTTTATTATATAAATCATTTCATGTAAAAAAAATTTAAAGCCATTAAAACAGTTTATTGTTTTCTTTTTCTTTAAATAACTTCATTTTACATTTATTTGGTGCTGARGATAGAACCCAGTGCCTCGGGAATGCTACGCAAGTACTCTACTACTGAGCCACAACCCCAGCCCCCAGTTTATTGTTTTCAATTAAAAAATTTGRGGGCTGGATTGTGGCTCAGAGGTGGAGCACCTGCCTAGCACGTGCAAAGCCCTGGGTTTGATCCTCAGCATCACAAAACACTAAACAAACAAATAAAGGTATTTAAAAAATTTTATAAGATCACGTTTAACATATTAAAAACATTTTAACAGTAGCTTCTTATCATTACAAAATCATTAAAAATATATTACCGTGCTTCTGATTTTTAATTATCCTTTTATTTATCTCTTCACAATTTTTATGTTTCTTTGAAGACAATTTTTTATATTCTTTATTTCCAATCAATTCCTTCAAAAAAAGGAGATAATTTGCTTTTATTTCAACAACTACCATTTAAACAGGATTTTAAGCACATTTTTTTTTTGGGGGGGGGGTTACCAGGGATTGAACTCAGAGGGTGTTTAACCACTGAGCCAATCCCCAAGCCTTTTTGTTTTTTATTTTGAGATAGGATCTCACTAAGTTGCTTAGGGAGGCCTCAAACTTGAGATCCTCCTGCCTCAGCCTCCCAAGTCACTGGGATTATAGGCATGCACCTCCACACCCAGCTCTAAATTTCACTTTTCAACTAAAGACTGGGGAAAATAAATATCAATACATTTACCTAGAGTTCCAAAGTTAAAGAAAAATTATGAGAATTATAGCAAAGTCATAATAAAAACAATATTAAAAGAGCTTTTCAAAATGGATTCAGGAGGTTTTCAAGTGAAGACTTGTACAAGAAGATTCCAACTATGACCTAGGATTGTGGATTTTGGTTGCCTTCTGACTTCAGGCAGCTAGAATGGATAATTACACTGTGCCCAGAGAGTTAAGTTAGTGGATTCTTATTTTACAGATATTTTTACTACATATATATGGGTTTTTTCTTCTTTTTTCTCTTGGTTACATGGCCCTATTGCTAGTACCTGTTCAACACTAACAGCAGTTTCTTCACAAAAAAAAATTTGTTATTGTCTTATAGTAGATTAACACCATTTGTCCAATATAAGTTCTCACTTTTCCCAGCCTTCTATGGAACACTTTTTTTAAGATCCAAATAAAGTCCCTTTTACTTTTAGTTTCTGAGGTTGGACTGACCCACAAAACTGATACTGGTACTTATAACACTTGTGTCTTTTAAACCTTTTCAAGTACAACATTACCCCTCTAAACAAGCAGTGTACAGTAAATAACTTACCTGCTTAGAAAAGTAAGATCCTCCTGTATTTTGACTAGTATTATTTACTTGGTCAATTGGTGGTTTATTTTGACAATTATTATAGCCATTGTTTATTTCTGTAGGTCCTGGCAATCCACTACACTTAATATTCTTCATTTCTGTAAGTACAATAATGGACAGTTCAATAAATGATTACAGCAAAGRTAAGCTGCTTTTCTACATTAAAGAGCCTATTTTGAAAAAAAAAAAACTTACTTAGAAAGGGCTATAAATTAATGTTCATACTTTTTTGGTGGTGGTGGTGCATATAAAGCAGACTATTATAGTTTGGCAAAAGGATGAAACAGAAGTCTGTCAGCTACCTCTATACCAAGAGAAAAGACCAAACATACCCAAATTATCACAATCAAGGTCATAAGTGGTGTTGGCCTTTTGGACGACATATGTTTGGTTTTCTTCTGCATCATTTTTCTTTGATTTTCGTATGTCAGAGTCAAACCCTGCAGTTTTCTGTTCTTCTCTGGCCTCTTCCCTGTTCTTTTCATTAGCCCTAAAGACAATTATATTATTTTTTTCTCTAATATTATTCCTTAAGAAACAAAACAACAACAACAAAAACAACTAAACCTAAAAATAAAGGAAACCCCTCAGATAAAGTTCCCCCTCCCCCAGCTAACTGTACTTTTTAATGTTACATTTTGATTTTTTCCAGATTTCCATCCCTATTCCACAAAGAACTCAAGTTCAACATATTGAATCAGAGGATTCATAAAAACATAACTGATTCCTATTGTATGCTCTTAATTCCTACTTAAGCTGATATTACAAGAAAACTATGGAGCAAGTCCTGCCAATTGACTGTTTTGTAAATAAAGTTCATTGAAACACAGACAGGTTAATTCATTTTCATACAACCTATGGTTACTTTTCTGCCAAGGTAGAGTTTCTGGAACAGACACAACATATTCACAGAAATACTTACCATCTGGTCCCTTACACAAAAAACTGCTAGTCCCTATAAGTTATTTTTACTATGATTAACTTTAAGCGCTGTATCCCCTATGGGCTCCTTAAGGACAAGAATTATTTAAACTCTATTTTTTTCAATGCTAACTACAGTGTCTGTTAAGTAGCTGATAGTGAATAACTACTGAGAATTAATGAAAAGAAAAAAGGTATTAAACAGCATTATGTCCTTCAAAGGGTAGGTGAATGAAGAATATTTCTAGAAATATGCTGAAAGTTTTATTTCCCTTTTAGATTTATTCAACATGGCAGAAATACTTATAAAGTATTATTTTTTCCTGAAACTCTTCTGAGATCAAAAAGAACTTCAAAACTGGTACCATCCCAAAACACAAGTACATGTATGTGAAGTTCATTATATTTTACATCTAAAATGCATACATTTATTAACATAAATTATACTTTATTAATGTTCATTTTTTAAAATTTAAAAGAATACTTTACCTTAATTGCTCTAGAAAATTATCAATGTATTCTTTCCAATTTTCTGGAAATCCAAACATAAATTTCCTTATGAGATAATATGGATATCCTATTTAAGGACAAATGACAAAAACAATTATCTAAAAGCCTAGAATTTTAAAGAGATATCATTAATTTATTGAATCAGTCAAGAAGCATGTACTTTTGTTTATTATGTGCAGCATTTTTAGTGAGGATYCAGCAGTCAACAAGGTAAATAAAAATCTCTGACCTCGTAGAACTGGTCTTCTAGTATATACAGTTAAGCACACTAACAAGTAAATGTCCTGTTTGCTAGATGTTCTGCAGGAAAGGGGGATAAAGATGTTCATGGGAGAACAGCGATTTTAAAAATGGATAGTCAGGGAAGACCTCACTGAAATGCTAAGCAAAAGTCCTAAAGAATTAGAGGGAATGAACCATGTAGCAATGTGGAATTAGAATGTAAGAAGGGCAGAGGAAAGTAAAAAGCCATGAGGCAAGAGGATACCTGGTCTGACTGTGAAGTAATAAAATCAGTGTAGTTGCTAGGGTTGTGGCTCAGTGGAATAGAGCCTAGCATGTATGAGGCCCTGGGTTCAATCCTCAGCACCACATAAAGATAAATAAATAAAGGATTGTGTCCATCTACAACTAAAAGATAAATACATAAAAAATTAAAAAATCAGTGTAGTTCCAGTGATATGAGGGGTTAGTATTAGAAGGTTACACAAATGGATAACAGATGCAGTGCACAGGAGATTATAATTTGAAGTTTTGTGGTCATTTTATGGACCTGGATATTTATTTAGGGTAAGATGGGCAGCTATGGAAAGATTTTGAGCAAAGAAGCTACAAGATCTGACTTACTTTAATAGAACTGTATTAGCTGCTATTCTGAGAAGAGTCTGGGTAAGTGAGTGGAAAAAGAACGAGACTAATTAAGAGAGACTAATTAAGAGACAATTATTATATTAATTGAAACAAAAGGCTGGGTGTGGTGGTACACACCTATAATCCAGTGACTTAGGAAGCTAAGATATAAGGATTGTAAGTACAAGACCCATCTTAGAACTTAGCGAGGATCTAAACAATTTAGTGAGCACCCTTGGATTCAATCCCAGTATTAAACAAACAAAACACTGAAACAAAATATGAGGTAGGTCTAGATTACAGTGGTGCAATAGAGATCAGTGTTTTAAAGGTGTTTTGGGAGATACTGCCAACAAGTTGTACTGATAAACTAGACGTGGGTATGAGAGAAACTAAAAGGTTTAAAAATGCCTCTAAGGAGCTAGGCATGATGGCATATGTCTATAATCCCAGTGACTCAGGAGGCTGAAATGGAAGGATTGCAGGTTCAAGTCAGCTTCAGTAACTCAGATAGACCCCATCTCAAAACAAAAAATAAATTAAAAAGTGCCAGAGATATAGCTCAGTACTATAGTACCCCAGGGTTGAATCCCTAGTACTCTGCCATCCCAAAATGTCTCCAAGGATTTAGGCTATTCAGTAGAAGCATGGAAAAGTGGGGAAGAGTATTGGCCAAGCAGATTTAAGGAAGATCAGATATTAAATCTGAGATAATTATAAACATCTCAATGGAGATGTCAAATAGATAGAAAATGAACTGGATACTTAGAGGAGGTCTTGGTTTGAAAAATAACATTGGGGGTTAGGGTTGTAGCTCAGTGGTAGAGCACCTGCATATATGTGTGATTCGATTCTCAGCACTGAATATAAATAAAATAAGGGCCCATTGACAACTAAAAAAAAAATTATTACAACATTGGCATTTGGCACTTCAAACCTAAAACGATTCAGCACATAAATAAGTGTACAAAGAACCCTAAGTTACCCCATTACTTGGAGGTAAAGAAGAGAGAAATACACAAATAAATTAAAAAAGAACAGGCAGTGAAGAAGCATGAAAACTGAGATATGGTATTCCAGAAGTCAAATTAAAAAAGTATCTCAAGGAAGTAGGTAGATCAAATCCAGTATAAGTGTGTACTGGATCTATCAATGTAGAGGCCACTGGTGACTTTCATATAGGATGTTTTGCTTAAGAAATGGGGGTTAAGGCATGATTAAAGAGAATTCTAGAAAAAAGGGGGAGAGAACTCAAGAAAAATCTGCTGTAGTAAATCTTCTGAGTTATTTTTATGTAAATGAGAGCAGTGGCTGAAAGAGGTATGCTTAAAAGAGCAGTGTTTTGCTTTTGAAACAGGAGAAAATTACTGGAGTGATGTCCTCAAGTAAAAGAAAAATGGAGCTAGTATTTAAATGGAAAGACTAATACATAGGAACATGGATAGTACATTCACAATGAAAGCGGGTATGGATGTAAACAGGTAAGTAAATGCAGTGGGGAAATTCTCTTCTGAATGTTCCTATTGTTCAGGTACTCCCCTCTCCTTCTATCCTCTTTACCTGAGAATGTATGGGGGAGAAGGGAGTGGAGATTTAAAAAAACGTGAAATAGTAATCAGGAAGGATGGGAAAGTAAATAAATTAGGGAAATATAGTAGGTTGCCAAGCATCACCAAGGGACCACTAAAGAACTGGACTATAACTTGTTGCTGGTAATCAAAAATTTAAAGTAGAATATTTGGGTATGTTTTTTGACCTACATTCAGCTGTATGCAAGGAATATGCAAATTAGATTATACCCGGAAAGGGTTATGTCAGCGAGGTTTAATAGAGACAGAAACCAAGGAGCTCAATTATATTCTTATAAAGCAGTTCCTTATAAWTAGGAAATTTTGAATTTTTAAATCACAAAAACTTAAACTGTAACAATTATGAAATTCAAGAAAATGATTTTGTAAAATTCTTATGTAAATTTTACAAAATCTAATCAATTGCTTTAATTTATTCGTAATTTTWAAAAAGCACATATACACACATATATATTACTATTAGAAACATGGTTAATTGCTTCACTTACTAAAATAACTTATCAATTAACAATAATACTTATTTACCTTCTTCTTTCATGGAAATCTTGTCTATCAATCCTTTTAATATATAAATGTTGCCTGATACAGTCCTAAGTTCATTGTGCTTAATCCGCTCTATAATTACATTACTGTGCCAATATATGTTAGTCATGTCTCTAAAAACAAAAAACAAAACAAAACAAAAAAAACTTAGTGAAGGCCAAATTATTCACATTTTATCAGGAGTCACAAAGTACATATATACATCTACATTCTAGCTACAGTAACAATACCAATATTGTTAATATTTGAGTGACAAACACTACAGTAGAACTTAACTGCTTAACTAATGTGATCTTCAGAGTATGTGCTAAGAAACTTACTGTGGCTAAACCATGTCCCTGATATAAAATACATCATTAGGATGGAGGCAGAGCTTTCTCTATCTTGTGCTGGCAATATTTGCAACTTCAGCTTAACTGATACTAAGCTTCCAAAGAACATTTTCTGTGACCCTTAATCAGATTTTTTTTTTTTAAGAGAGAGTGAGAGAGGAGAGAGAGAGAGAGAGAATTTTTAATATTTATTTTTTAGTTCTCGGCGGACACAACATCTTTGTTGGTATGTGGTGCTGAGGATCGAACCCGGGTCGCAGGCATGCAAGGCGAGCGCGCTACCGCTTGAGCCACATCCCCAGCCCCTTTAATCAGATTTTAATGTTTCGAATTTTGTGCAGAAATGTAGTTTTTTTTTTTTTTTAAGATGTGGTCTTGCTATGTTGTCTAGGCTATCCTGCACTGGTGATCCTCCTCCTTGGTCTTCCAGGATTATTATAGAAACATAATTAATCAATTGCTTTAGTTTATTCATAATAAATTATGAATCACAACAGAAACAGATCAGAACCATCTAATCTTCTGTGTATGTGTGTGTTTTCCCACAGTACATAGCCAGATGTTTTTATCTTCCATTTTGGAAAAGTACTAAAAAGAAATGTCAGTTTGGAAAAAACAAACTATAGTAGCAAATCACTGGCCCATAAATCTGCATATTCTTTAAATAAGCTAAGAATAAATGTAAAACAGAAAAAAATAAGAAGATAAGATGAATACTGAACATTCTCACTCATTAGATAATAACATGCTATTTACAAACATAATAAGGAAGTTATTTTAACTCAGCCAATGGGATAAAACTCATATTATACTTAAATACACTATTCTCTCCTTGGCATTCTTTTTTGCTTTATTTAACATTTAAACGATACTAAAAAGCACTCTTCTTTTGTATTACAAATATTAASTCACTTAATTCTTAAATCGATCTACAGGGCTGGGTGTGATGGCTCACACCTGTAATCCCAGAAACTTTGGAGGCTGAGGCAGGAGGATAGTATGTTTGAGGCTAGCCGGGGCAACACAGCAAGACCACATCTTAAAAATAAAAATGAAATGACAGTAAGAGCCTGTCTCAAAATAAAAAATGAAAAGGGCTGGGGATATATCTCAGTGGTAGAGTGCCCCTAGGGTACAGTCTCTGTACTGCAAAAAAAAGTATGTAATACTATATTCTTATTGTACAGATAAAGAAACTTGAGCCTGAAAGAGGGTAAATAAATAACCTAAGTCATTCTGGTGTAAGCATGAATAATAGGATTCCTAAAGACAATCTATACTACATCTTGGATATTAAGGAAATGGGCACAAGACAAGCAAAGTGAATAACACATACTTTATAAACTTCCATGTACAAACCTTAAATACTGAAATCCTATACTATTTATTACAAAATTTGTTTTACCACCAAGAATAGGTTTTGAAAATAAAAATTGGTGCTGACAGAGTGGCAGAATTAGGCAAAGCCCACATACCTAGATGAATCTCTTATTTTAGGGTGAACCAGAAAGCGACAATTACTTAATATGTAGCTATATGGCAAAGTTTTCAATATTTTAATTTATTTTCTGGATCAGTAATTTATATCTGGTTGTCCCAATTTAGATTTGAGAATCTGGACTAAAATGCAAGTAGTAAATATTAAGTGATCATTCATAATTAGCAGATAATACCAGTCTACTTATTAGCACCTCAGGAAAAAAAATAAAGTACCATATAAAATTGAGCTCTCACTATTTAAAGAACAATTGGAGAAAACAGGCAAAAACTAAGAAAGCTGGTAGCAATCAATATGGTGAGTATCTGCATAACCATTGTACATTTTTGCCTTTATAACCTTATGACAAAGTTTTTATAGCTTTATAGAAAGATACTATTTCTCTTATTTTTTTTTTTTTTGTACTGGGGATTGAACTCAAGGATGCTTTGTCACCAAGTTATATTGGTTCTAAATTGCTGAAGTTGGCCTGGAACTTGCAATCCTCCTGCATCAACCTCCCAAATCACTGGGATTACAGGCATGTATCACTGTGCTTGGTTTCACTATTATTTATTTTAAATATTTTTTAAGTTGCAAATGGGTCTTTTATTTATTTATTTATATGCGGTGCTGAGGATTGAACCCAGGGCCTCACACATGCCAGGCTAGTACTCTACCACTAGGTCACAACACCAGCCCTCTTGTATTACTTATAAGCTTTTAGACAAATGCCCTCTTAAATTTTATTACAAGAATATTTAAATGTTATACTTACATCAGTTTTCCTTCTACACATATAGCAGTATTATTATTGATGACTTTAATCATCCATTCTTGAAGCTGGATTACCTAGTCAAGCATTAAGCAAAGAACATGTCTTATACTACTTCCAGGATAGACATTACAAATTAAATTATAAAGAAAAAACTTAGATCTAAGTAATCCTAGCAATTCCTTCATCTATATAAGAATGTTAATCTATTAAAACACCAATTATCATAAGGGACCTAATAATTTAGAAGAAAAAAGAGTTACATACTATCAGCTTTGTCCCTTAAACAATTAGACCATTTTTTTWATAAAGCTGATGTACAGATGCATTTCAATTTTCTATAAACTCTGGTGACTGCTGGTAATATACATTTAGTAGCATTTTATTTCAAAGTGAAAGTATTTGAATAGCTCAGAAAACTAATTTTTTAGTGTGAGTAAAATCCCATTCAAGCGGAAAAATTTCTATGAACATCTATGCAAAAAAAACCTGTTTATATTTCATAGTAATTTAAGATTAAACTCTCTCTGATGAGAACAAAACCCAAAATTTATAACTAATTTGAATTGTCATTTACATTATATGATATTATACATTTACATATAAAGACAAATTCTCTAGTGGTGGTTTTATACTGCATCAGAAAATATTAAAATGGGAAGATAGTCTTTGTTACCGCTCAATTATGTTCATTTTAAATATTCTAGGTAAGACTTGGGCAAAGTAAAATAAAAAACATTTCTTTTTTCCCCTACTCCCACATTTGCAACTACCTGAGATACATCAAAGCATTGGTCAGATGAAGATAATATTACAGTAAAAACTAATACTAATACTGTTCCAAGTACCTAAGCTGTATTAACACATGCTATCTTCAYAACACTTGGAGGCAGGTACTCTAACCTTCATTTTACAGATAAAGAAACTGTAAAATCTAGTTAAATAACTTGTTCATGTCAAACACATCTAATTAATGGCACAAAAGGGTCACAAACTGTGGAATTCTGCTGCCTCTAGAATCCATTCATTGTTTATTCAGTAAATATTTGTTGAGTTCTATACACTGTTCTAGACAATGGGGATGTAGCAAAAACCAAAATGGCTGCCCTCGTGGGGGGGGGGGCAGGAAGGCTGGTGGTGGGGGGGTTTGGTGGAAGCAGGAGGCAAGTAATGTGGTAGCATCCAAAAAGATAAAGATTAAGATGTCAGCAGACAATAATTACTAATAGAAATAAGTTTAAGATGTGAGATAATTGGAATGATTCTTCAGATATGATAGTTAGGGAAAGTCTTGGAGCATGGAATTGAACAAAGTTAACAGATGAGCTATATGAACAAAAAAGGCTGGGGGYGCTGGGATTGTGGCTCAGCTGTAGAGTGCTTGCGTAGCATAGCATATTTGAGGCCCTGGGTTTGATCCTTAGCACCACATAAAAACAAATAAAGAAAATAAAGGTATTGTGTCCAACTACAACTAAAACATATTAAAACAGCAACAACCACAAAAGGCTGGGGATGTATCTCAGTGGTTAAGCACCCCTGGGGGTCAATTACTGGTACCCCAGAAAATAAATAAAATTCAGATGAAATTTGAATACATCTATTTTGAAATAAATAAGTAAACTTATACCCTTCTTTTTTTATATATTTTTAAAATTTTTTAGTTGACAACACCTTTATTTCACTTGTTTATTTTTGTATGTGGATCGAACCCAGGGTCTTGCACATTCGAGGTAAGTGCTCTACCGCTGAGCCGCAACCCCAGCCCCATATACCCTTCTTCTTAAACCTGTATTTCCATTCCAACTCCTTCAGAGAATTTATCCTAATGTAACAGAGTTTGATGTTCTAAAAAACTCTTTTATGAATCACTCTACATCGTAMATCTTCAAATCCTTAGATGCTCTAATTCCTTTTTTTTTCCCAGTTATTCTCTTTGTACCCCAAAATCAGGCAGGAAAATTTCAGAGCAGGAATGAATTCAATGTTCATCCTTAAAGTCCATAAGTAAATTGTTGAAGGATGTGCAACTAGAAATAGAGAAATATAAACATTAACAACTGGGTCTTCTTACTTTCAGTTCACTGTTCTTTTTATCATGCCACACTATTGCTACAGTAAATAATAATATAACATGAAATGTGCATTAGAGTTCAACCTCTTAAAGAAAGAGGAGTAACAGTTCTGGGGGTAGCTCAGTTGTAGTGTGCTTGCTTARTATGMGCAAGGCCCTGGGTKCCATCCCTAGAATCACAAAAACAAACAAAAAAACACAGCTAAGAACAAGTGGTACAAACAGAAATAAATATCTGCCTTAAAAAATTTCCTACCTGACTTTTTTTTTTAACTTCATTTGTAATAGTTTGAATTACACTTTGAGRAGAAAGCTTTGAAATATTTCTTTTTGAATTCCGAGGTAGTGTTACATGTAATCTTGGACTTGCAAGTATAATTTTACATGTATCATTCATGGAACCTGGAAGGCAAGTCATTATAGATATTGACTTTTCATTTTGTTCCTTAATTTCTTCTTGTGAAGTCCCATCTTTTATCACTTCACTATCAGAAACCATTAATTGATTACCATTTTTAATAGGAACACAATTAGTATTAAGAATCTCAACATTAGTATCTTGGAATTTTTCATAAGCAGAATCATTGCCTTCTAAAACAAACGTGTCCTTTTCGGAATTGGTGGTTCCAGTTGTATTCTCTTTTGAGTGCAGAATTTGTTTAGTTAGTTGAGCTCTAATTAATGCCTTATTTGATACTTCTGCAACTGAAACATTTTCTTGGTTTAGAACTGGAAGTTCTGGAAAAAAACACAAAATAAAATTTACAGAAGAATCACATGAAATTAAAAGAAATAACAATTTAAAACTCTTATATTAAAAAAAAGACTTCACATTAGGAATGTACCTCCCTTCTACCCAGTATTTCTCTGAGTACCTCTGGATTTTATAATCCAACCTTTTGTCCACAGTCAATATTTATTGCCTACAATAGGAAAATAATTATCTACAACATTTAACAATACATTGAACTAACAAACTAAAAAAGAAACAAAATAAGAAAACAGTTTACCATAAGTTAAATTGTGCAGTTGTGCTTTCTTTTCCTTCTGTTCTTGAATCTTTTGTTTAATGGGAAGAATATTTGATGATTCTAGAGGAACTTCTTGAACTGAGGCTGAGTTTTTTTTWAAAAAACAAGTTGAACTGTATTAGTTATGCTTAAGAAAAAAATGCCTATTTATATTCTTGAAATAAAGACATTTAGGTTCAATAATGATCAAACTAGTATGGTGCACTTTTGCAAAACATGACCGTCATATAAATTTTCCCTTTATTATTTTTTCATGCCTTTACTCCATATATGTATAAATACATACATAAATTTCTCTAAGGTCTAATCTGCCCAATATAGACAAAACTATACTTACTATTTCTTTCAGTATCTTGGGCCCTGGCCCTACTTCATGCAAGGGGTAACAAGGCTCCTGGTTCAGGCACCTAGGACAGGCTTGACCTTCATATAGCAACACACACCAACCATCTGAACTGATACCAAGGCCCCATGTAGCTGGGCATAAGCCCTGCTCGAGAACCTGACTAAAGGACAGATGGACAGTCTCACACAGTGGCCTACAGGCTGATTCACACTTCCAGCCAAGAACTCTGGGAGTGAAGGAGAAGGGGACCAAATAATATACTACTAGACTTAGAAACCTAAAATATGGAATAAAATTCTGGTGCTGCCACAAACTGGGTATGCTAAGATTACGCATGAAATACCACCCAGGCTTGAAATTTCTGCTTCTGTTTTCTATAAATTTCTAAAACATGAAAGAACAGTTGAAGAGCAGTTACTTATTCTTTAAAAATTTTATGTTGAGAATCTAATAGCAGACTTAACCATAATTTATATGGCTTTGAAATCTCTTTTGTAGGCCTTCAAAGGCACAGAAGTCTATTGACATCTACGATAAATAAGGACTTCTGGTATTGCTTGCACTTTATACACTTTATTCTGATTTACATACTAGATCTTTTTTTTTTTTTTTTTTTTTGGATACCAGGGATTGAACTCAGGGGCACTCGACCGCTGAGCCACATCCTAGCCCTATTTTGTATTTTATTTAGAGACAGGGTCTCACTGAGTTACTTAGTGCCTTGCTTTTACTGAGGCTGACTTTGAATGTGTGATCCTCCTGCCTCATTCTCCCAGGCCACTAGGATTGGAGTTGTGCGCCACCGCACCTAGCATACAACCTAAGTCTTGAATGTTTCTTGTGTATAGAAATGAGATTCTTTCACTCATGAACGGGATGATTATAGATTTAAATTTGTGCTAGAGAAAGAAAAACTGGGTTTATTTAATGTCAAATATTATACTTGAGGAGCTGGGGATGTGGCTCAAGCGGTATCGCGCTCGCCTGGCATGCGTGCAGCCCGGGTTCGATCCTCCGCACCACTAAAGATGTTGTGTCTGCCGAAAACTAAAAACTAAAAATGGGACTATTTATAACTATCCTGGGATTTTCTTAAAAAAAAAAAAAAAAAAATTATACTTGAAAAAAATAAGAAATGACTATGCTTTAATATGTATACCACTTTGGACTTATAAATCTTGATATAAAGATTTTATTATAATGATGTCATAAAAAGAAGCTTAAATTTCATGGCTAATTGTTATACTCTTGTACTCATCCTTAACTCTTTTGTCCTTCTGTCACTACATCTTACTTGGCAAAATTATAACTCAGATAATATTTAACTCCTGCCTATTCCACACCAGCATCTATGCAGTTAAACAGGGCTAGAGGAAAACTTACAACCATATTTATTGGTCCCCCTTTAAATTCATGCCCACAAATCTCAAGTAGCTCTTTAATGTCACCCAGAAACTCAAATTTAAGCCTAGATAATTAACTATTCTCCTCTCCTATACTATTCAAACCTCCACCTCCTCAAATTTTAATACTGTATAATATTTAAAGCTGTGAGATTAGATGGGATCATCAAGGAGTTAAGTCTAGAAAGAGAAAATGTTCAAGGTCTGAGCCTTGAACATTCCACCAAAACTGTCCTCATTCAAGTCARTGACCTCTAAATCACTAAATCCAAGTGATCCTCACTCAGTTGATGATCTTATTTCATATTTCAGACCATGTGTGAAATTTTACAATGACCCACCAGTATCTGTATTTACATACTGCCTTCGTTTTTGTTAACAATTTTGTGTCCTAGCTAAGGTCAAATCTCTACTTATGCATTAGATTCTATTTCCTTTCAACTATTCAAGGACATCATACAAGCAATCCATTCATCTCTTCCCACTGAATTATTCCCAAAAGCATATAAAAATATTATTATTTCACCAAATATTAAAAACTACAATATACTCTTTAACAATGCTCATTACCTCTTTGTTCCCTCAGAAACACTTTATCTATGGTCACCATGCCAATTTCTCTACTTACATTCTCTCTTGAACCCTTTCGTAACATTTTTATTCCTACCATTCCACCAAAACTGCCCTCATTCAAGTCATCAGTGACCTCTAAATCACTAAGTCCAAGGATCAAATCTTAGCCTACTTGACCTACTAGCAAAATCAGACATCGTTGATGTCTCCTTCCATTTTTTWAAAAAAWWTTTCTTTGTAGTTGTAGATGGATAGCATGCTTTTAATTTATTTGCTTATTTTTGTGTGTCATGCTGAGGATCAAACCCAGTGCCTCACATGTGCTAGGCAAGTGCTCTGCCAGTGAGCCACAGCCCCWGGCGTGATTCCTTCCATTTTTAAGTATTTTGTTCTTTCAGCTTCTTCAGCTTCATTCTCCTGGTTCTCCTTCTTCCTAAACACCTTTCTCAGTGGCCTTCTACCCTTTATTCTAACTTCTAAATGTTAGAGTACTACAGGCTCAGACCTTGAACATTTTCTCTTTCTACACTTCACTCCTTGATGATTCCATCTAATCTCACAGCTTTAAATATGATTTGGTGCTAATAATTCCCAAAAGTCCTTCTCTRCCCTTTATAATTTCCTTAAATCCCAACTAAAAATTCCCAACAGTCTAACTGACTTATATGCTAATTTCTAACAGTCATACCAAAATTAACCTGATGAAAAATTAACAAGGTCCTCACACCATTCTTCCTTCAATCTACACCAGTTCAGTTAAATTATCCTTCCAGTTGGTCAGGCTAAAACCCCAAACCAACCAATCAACTAACTAACCTGGAATTATTCTTTATATTGCTTTTTCTCTTTTATATTCCACACCCAGCCTATGAATCAAATCTATTGATTCTACCTTCAAAATATACCCAGACTCTAACCACTTTTTAATTCAATCACACCCACCTCCTGGACCAAGTTAGTATTGTCACATGTATAATTGTAGTGTCTCTATTTCAAATCAATAGCCAGAGTGATATTTCAAAAACGTAATTAGATCTTGCCATTCCTCTGCTCAAAGCCTTCCAATGGCTTCTTATTTTGCTTACAGTAAAAAACAAGCCCCTATTTTTTTTTTTTTTTTAACCAATAAGGTTCTATATTATCTGACCCTCTCTTATCCCCTCCTCTTTGGGCAGTCTATTACTCCATGGCAGAATAACTTCATAGTTGATCCTTGAATTTTCCAGGCATGTTCAGCTGTTACTTAGGTGTCTGGATCATGCTCCATTTCTCAAAATACCTGTATCTATCACTTCCTTCAAATTTTTGGGCTCAACTGCCACCTCACTGATGTTTACCTTCAACATTCCACCGAAAATTACAACACCCTCCAACTCTCCCCATCATCCTTATTCTGCCTTTCCTTTCTTTGCTTCTTTCTGCTTTTCCTCTTCAACTATACCATAAAAAATACTCTTTTAATTTACCTGAATGTGACCTATGCTCACAGAGGCAGAGATTTTGAAGCTTTCTGTTCATAGCTGTATCCCAAGCGCCTAAGATATCTGACTCATTAAAACACTTACGACTTTACAGCTGTTTAGCCAACACATGATAAAACTAACCTCTTAGTGAATTGTTATCTGATAAGAATGAGTTGTTTTCCTTTTCTTCATAGAAGCAGGTATGCTGCAATAGTTTTTTCTCATTTTTGTTAGGAGTAAAGATTTTATGATTTTCACTTTTCGGTGGTTCCAACAAACTATTGTTTCTTGATGCTTGTTCTTGCTTATCACGCAGTACTTTTTCTTTCATTCTTTGAAATATTTTTCCTGGTGATTCATAGTTTGCTTTACTTTTTAATGCATCCATGTTGGACTTGATAGCACTGATATCAAGACAACTGTTAGATGTAGTAACCTCTGTTAGCATGGTAGATTGAAATATGTTTTTATTCTTAGGAGTTGTCATTTCTAAAGACTGATTCTTTTTGTGGTCATTAGATTTTAAAGAGGAATTCTGATATTTGACCAAATCTTTTATAGGAGTAAGTGTGCCTGAAGGAATGTTGTCAAAAAAGATTGCATCCATGGACATATTTCTTTTTTGAGAAGAGGTCTCTGAAGACAAATGAATTCTTGGATGTTTTAAAGGTGTTGTAATCATCTTGATAAGGACAGTAGCAACAAAATCCCTCTAACAGAAAATCCAGTCAAGCAGAATTTTCAGGATAGTTTGTCCGCAGCGGTCCAGAGAAACCTGCAGTTCGATGGGAAACCAATCATCATCATGGGTTAGTGCAGAAAGTTTTATTTATTTGCTTTCCATAACAATATCTCAATTAAAAGGTTCAACTACTTATAAAAACACTAGATATTCTATACAGCTCACAAATCTGACTAGGATTTTATTTATTTAAAGTCTCATTTTTATTATTTTTAATAGATGAGCAACTTGATCTTTAATTTTACTTCTTTACAAAAAACAATATTCACCAAATAATATATCCAATAGCTCTACTGAGTTTTGAATCTGTTTTTGAAATTTATTTGAATATTAAGTTTTAGATGTTTCAATCTAATATCTGCTTCAAAAAGCAATCACATAGGCAGTCAGTATTAATTATATTGTTATAAAAGATTAAGTTTTGGGGCTGGGGTTGAGACTCAAAGGTAGAATGCTCGCCTAGCATGTGTGAGGATCTGGGTTCGATCCTCAGTACCACATAAAAATATATAAATAAAATATTGTGTCCAACTAYAACTCAAAACATATTTTAAAAAAAGATTAAGTTTCACAAATGTGGCATTTCCCTTTATGCACTTAAATTTTAAGGCAGCACCTAAAATATCCAAAAACAAGGGCTGAAAATTCTATTCAATTTATTTAAATAATCTCCAATGCTGACTTTTATGCTCCAGAACACTTAGATTATGAGGTCCTAATTGAAAACCTTCAAATAGAAAGTAAATTATATTTATTTTAAATTTTTTTTGAAAAAAGGAATGCTATTTAGAATTTTTGGAGAAAATCATATACTTGAACATACCAGTTCTTAGACTTATCTTACACTTGATCTTAGCCAAAAGGCCAAGAAGCAGTTTCTTTTTTAAAAAATATCTTTATTTCATTTACTTATTCATTTTTATGTGGTGCTGGGGATTGAACCCAGTGCCTCATATGTGCGAGGCAAATGYTCTACCACTGAGCTACTACCCCACCCCTTAGACTTTTTTAACTTGATTCTTACGTATGAATTTTATTTCCCATACCTAGAAATTAAGATTCTAGGTAAGGAACCACAAGTCGCGTAAAGTAATTCTTGGGAAAATAAACAAAACATTTCAATCCAAGAGGCCTGGAACTGACTAATCAAGATCAAAAAAGACATCAAGCATATTATCTACATAACTTCTATGTTAAATAAATAAGCAACCTAAAAATTCATATAAAGTATTTTATACAAAATTTATAACTGAAAAGGGAAACAAAAGAGTATTACTCAATAATAACAACTAATGAGGAGGGGGGTCTTGGAAGTTTGATCCTGTGACAGGAAAACCATTGTAATTCTTTCATAAAATACATGTTAATGCATTTATTTGTATGTCTGTCATTGTGCTAAGTGTCAGAAGTACTGGGAGTTATGATAATCACTATTGTTCATTTTAAAGGGTATCAATAATGCTATACTATTTCTCATAACCAAAAATGTTCATGGACAAATACAGGGGAAATGTTAGAGTATGTTCAAAATTTCCCAGTCTCAGTTCCTCAAACCCTTATCAAACACTTAACAGAAATTGCAAACACTCTAGTAGCACTGAAAACAGGCCCATTCTGTACTGACATAAAGAACTGCTTTAATTTAAAGGCAGATATTTATGGGTACATTGAAAGGCTCCAATAATCAGTAGCACAGAGCTTCTTCCAACAACCTACCCTTTCTCCAACCAATTCAAACAAGTAGCAGGATGAGGGTGAATAATCAAGACTCTGAAAAAATCCTCAAATTCTATTCTCTCCCCAAAAGACACAATAAGTTCCTCTAGAGTTATGCTTTCCCACTATGTGATAAACAGCAACTCTAAAGAAGCTAAACATATGCTAACTGTGTAGTTAGTGGAAGAGAAGATGCAGTGAAAAAAAAAAAAATTACCTAGGATTTTCTGACCATAGAGTCTCTGCAGAATACCTATAGAAGAAAAACAAACCTGGATAGTCACCCAAGAAAGATCTGAAGCCCCATTCCCTAGTTAAAAGAGCAGAACAAAGAAAACAGATCATTATCAATGTTCAACCTTTGATGAAACAGAGGTTATAAAATGGGAAAATAGGGTCAGTGGTTGAGTGCCCCGGAGTTCAATCCCTGGTACCCCCCCACATCAAAAGAACATTGAGATACCCACTCACTCTAGTTAGAATGGCTATTATCTATAAAATACAAAAGAAAACAACTGTTGGCAAGGATGTGGAGAAAAGGGAATCCTTCTACACATTGTTGTAATGTAAATTAGTACAGCCATTGTTGAAAACAGTATGAAATTTCCTCAAAAAATTAAAATGGAGTTATCATATGATCCAGTAATCCCTATGTCAGAGTAATCTGTACACTCATGTTCACTGAAGACTATTCACAATAGCCAAGAGGGAAACAACCCAAATGTCCAATAACAGATGAATAAAGAAATGTGGTATATCTATACAATAGAATACTACTCAGCTATAAAAGAATGATATATCTTGTCATCTGAGACAACATGGATGAAGCTGGAGGAAATCATGTTAAGTGAAACAAGCCCCACACAGAAAGACAAACACTGCATGATCTCACACATGTAAAATTTGTAAAAAACTGACATTATAAAAGTAGAGCTGGGCGAAGTGGCTCCTACCTGTAATCCCAGCAGCTTTGGAGGCTAAGGCAGGAGGATCCGGAGTTCAAAGCCAGCCTCAGCAATGGCGAGGTGTTAAGCAACTCAGTGAGACCCTGTCTCTAAGTAAAATATAAAATAGGGCTGGGAATATGGGTCAGTGGTTGAGTGCCCCAAATACCCTGCAAAAAAAAAGGATAGAAAGGTAGCTACCAGAGAATGGGGAGAGGGTTGGAAAAGAAGAGATGAAAAAGGAATCGGGAAGAGGGAATATGAGGAGAATGGGAAGAAATGGTGGTCAAGTGGCACAAGATAGGAGGAATAAGTTCTGAAGTTTTAGTGCTAAGGTATTATATTTTTCAAAATAGCAAGAAGTTTCTGTTCTCACCACAAAGAAATGATAAAACTGATGAGGTGACAGATATGCTAACTATCCTGATACACAATGTATACATGTATTGAAACATCAAATTATAGCTCATAAAGGCTGAGATTGTAACTCAGTGGTAGAGCTCTTGCCTAGCATGCATGAGGCACTGGATTTGATTCTCAGCACCATATAAAAATAAAGGGCTGGGATTGTAACTCAGTGGTAGAGCGTGTGCCTAGCATGTGCGAGGTACTGGGTTCAATTCTCAGAACTGCATATAGATAAATTAAATAAAGGCCCATCAACAACTAAAAATAATTTTAAAAAATAAATAAAGTTACTGTGTCCACTTAAAGCTAAAAAATAAATATTTTAAAATATTGTAGCCCATAAATATACACAAGAWAAAGAATCACAGATATGAAAATAAAAGTAGAGTAGCATAAGGGAGTATAAATATGGTGGAAAATAATAACAACTATGAACAATAGAAATGAAACAAGAAGGTGAAATTATAGTTTTAAAGTAAGTTATAAAGAAACTGAAGATGGACAGTGGTGATCCAACAGCACATAAATGGAATCCCTAAAGAAATGCAAAACAATGGAACTGAACAAACAGTGCAAGCAAATATTCCTGAAATAAAAAGCAACTTGATACTTTTTAGCAGTAAAAAATGACAAAAAAAGGTCACTGCCTAGACATATATGTGAAGTTATTATAAGTAAAAATAATATCGCTTCAAAAATAATTGTATTCTTCAAGTTGAAGAAAGAATAGAACATACTGAAGGTCAAGCAGACTGGATCTAATAGATGGAAGTTGTTAGGGGACAGACAGATGAGGATGGTGTGACTACAAGGTTAATTGACATTCTATAAAATGGGCCACTGTGCCGATTCCCCACACTCTTTGCTAAAAAGCAATTTACATGCAGCCTGGCCTGGCCTAAGTAGAGAGGTTTTGTCACATTCTTCAGCAAACTACCTATTATTTGCAAGGAAATGCAAACAAGAAATAACCTTGATAACAGGAACCCACATTTCAACCCAAGTTGAAAGTAGAGATTTTTGTGACCCTTTTCACAGACCAGATTCTGGAAGGATAATTCCTCCTGACCATAAAACCTGTAATTATTAAGAATCATTAAAATTATTAAGAATCCAATTAGAACTGCTCAGCATGGGTCAAGGATACATGAAATAGCAATGAGGCCAACCTCAGCAAATTTGCGAGGCCCTAAGCAACTTAGTGAGACCCTGTCTTAAAATTGGAAAAAAAAAAAAAAAATTGTAAAAAAGGGCTGGGGATGTGGCTCAGTATAAAATTCCCCTGGGTAAAGTCCCCTCTACCCTCACTGCCAACACATACACACAAGCAAACCAAAAACTGGCAATAGGTACATGAAAGTCATGATGTCACTGTGCTGTCAGTCAAAAGTCAAGATGTAGGTGTGGGGGAACTATGGAAACTTCTCTAGGATCCACAATAAAACTTGAGTGCAAGAGAGGTATATTGTCTCTCTCCTCTCTGAAAGGACCCACTTTCTCTCTTTAGAGTGTCCCCTTTCCCTTTTCCTATCCCTTCAATAAAACTTAAGCCTGTTACTCTGAGGGACATCTCTGAAATCTTCTCATATTAGAGACGGTGAATTCTAAAATGGTATACTTCTGTTTTCTTTAATTGTTTATGGCTGTTTAGAAAATCTACTTTAAAAACTGGCAAATGCTGATAAACTAGGGGAAAAATGCCCTTTATTCATCACAAAGACTCAGTAGCTGAAAAAACATTTATGAAAAGGTGGGCTATAAACATAGTATATGTAAAGAGTTAGCTAAACAACTGTTATTGTGTATGACACTGAATGCTACTCTTCCCCAAAATAAATTCTTCTGGGACTTACTGCAGTGGAAGCTGTAGTA